TATTCCATTTAGTTCTTTTTAGCCAGCTAAAATAAATGTGTATAATTGATGTAAGTCTTCAAAAATTTTGTCTCTTTCATCTCTGAGATAAAGTAGCAAAAAGACAGGAAACTATATACAATAATAATCTTAGCTATCAGAGAAAATTATCACCAAATAATATGCTCTGAATGAGTAATCCACTGCAAAATTTTTTTATATTGATCAGATCTGATTTTATTCAGGATTTACACTTATTCAAATTTGGAATAGGCAAAGAGGTTAATAAGAAACAGAATAACAAGTTACTAAAAATATGTAAATTACCTAAATAATATTATCTTAGTATTACTTTGAATCTTTTTCCCCCATTAAGTTTACTGGTACATTTAAAGCAAACAATACAGTTACATTTATCATTGGGATCTTGTACCTTTACATGATATATCTTGGTTCTTTTTTTTCCCCCATTCCCCTGGCCTCCCTTCACCCACTTCACCCTTCTCTATTTACAAAGACTTTGTTTCCATTTTTTCACTTTTTCTTTTCCCTTATTTCCTTTGCCCTCTTCTTCCCACTTCCCCTTTAGCCATTTTCTTTCTATTTCACCCTCTCAATTATACCATTTGAACCTTATTTACATTTTTAGTTCTTCACACCAGAGAAACTATTCGGTATTTACTCAAGTGTGTCCAGTTTATTTCACTTAAGAGTATAGGCCCAATGTGCATCCATTTAGCTATAAATGTTTCTAGTTTCTCATTCTTTATGGCTGAGTAATGCTCCATTTTATAGAAAAATCACATCTTCTTTATCTAGTCTCCAGTGGATGGACATTTGGGTTGTTTCCAACTTTTAGCTATTACCAACTGTGCTGCTATAAACATGGGTGCACATGTATCACTGTGGTATGATTCTTTTAAATCTTTTGGAAAGATACCCAGCAGAGAGATAGCTGGGTCAAATGGAACCTCTAATCCTAGTTCTTTGAGGTATCTCTATATTGATTTCCACAGTGGTTGCACCAGTCTGCACTCTCACCAACAATGGAGGAGGGTTCCTTTCTCCCCACAGCCCTGCCAGCATTTGTTATTGGTTGATTTCTTGATAGCAGCCATTCTTTCTGGGGTAAGGTAAAATCTCAATGTTGTTTTCATCTGCATCTCTCGAATGACCAGCGATGTTGAACATTTTTTCATCTATTTATTTGCTGCTTTTACAGTCTCTAGCCTCCCTATTGGTGTTAGTTTGTTTTGTTCTGTCTTTTCCTCTTCTCTTCAATAGTTTCCTAGAGTTTGTGTGATCTTCCAGTGTCCTCTGACCTCACTTCTAACCTTTGTCTAAACTATCTATCATTCCCTCCCCAAATCCTTCTAAATCCTCATCCTAACAGGTAAAGTTGCTATACTGGAGAGTTTATTCACTATAAACATATTTGGGCTGGTCCTCTATTTTTATTTAATTCGCACAGTTAAAGGTGATAGATTCATAACTACCACAAATTGTCATATTCTAAGCTGTGACTGAGGCTATTTTGTTGCTGACTGTATCACTTGGGCCAAGGCGTTGTGATTGATCTAATCAGTTGTCCTTCCTGGTATAATGAAAACGAGATTGCCTCAGAGACATTAGAGACTCAAAACCTACAGATCAGCTATATCTGGAAGATTGAAGTATTAACCCAGGAATTAAACCAAGGACAGGACCAACGATAAAAATAGAAATGAGAAGGCATTAAAACAAAACACAAACACAGACTTCCGCCCTACCAAAGGTAAACTTCACTGCACAGTTTTATGATTTTTTCTTTGCCCCAGAAGTGTGTAGACTTCCATGCATGATGAAGTGAATCTGCATGAAGCCCTATGTTGATATTTCAAAAACTCATTTTCCCATGAGGAAGGACAAGTGCAAAACACTGAGGATGAATCTTAGGAAAATATTCATGGTACAGATAACAGAAACCAAAGTAATGCTCCTAATGCACGTACAACCCTGACTCATGTCAAACATCTGGTTTCTCTTGATGAAGAGGGTCACAGTAAAAGGAGCAGGTGTGTTTTCTATATGACCCTGTGGTGAAAAGAGCCCAGGATAGTCAAGGTGTGGGGAACTTACAGTAGAATCTCTCTGTATTGTCTGATGAAATATCTAAAGACTATCAGAACTGAGCCACTACCCTCTCCCTATCCCCAAGGAGCTAGATAGAAGTCTATCTTCATGTTTAATAAAAATGATCCTAATAGTTTTTAAATTTTTATCAGTACATCTTTGCAGTACATAATGATTAGAGTCACTCTAAGGAATTTCTACATATATACAACACATTTCAGTTCCCTTCCTTTTTCCCCCCTCCCTCCACCCACTTGCATTTTTCCAGCATCAAATTCCTTTATATATCTTACAGGACTTTACAAAGTTGATTATCATATAAACAGATTGAAAACCAGAATGACAGACCAAAGAACACATAAAACATGTAAGAAAATCTAACTAAATCGAGGTGCACTTTTAGATACACTGTCCACACTGGATTACGTTTTCTTTTTCTATCTCTTTTTTACTATTATCTGTCTTTTATTTTGTACTTTATACCTGTATTGAGTTTTTCATATAAGAGAAGCCATTTAAGCTTGTGTGGCCAAGTTACTTCACTTAACATTATGGTCTCAAGATTTAACCTCCAGGCACACATAGACTGTTGGTCAAGAAAACTCTGGCAAAAAGAACTAAAAGAACCATATCACAGAGATATATGCACACCTGTGTTTATAGCAGCACAGTTTGTAATAGCTAAAACTTGGAAACAGTCCATTTGCCCATCAGTTGGAGACTGGATAAAGAAGATGTGTAGAGCCGGGCATGGTGGTGCACATCTGTAATCCCAGCACTCGGGAGGCTGAGGCAGGAGGATTGCTGTGAGTTTGAGGCCAACCTAGGCTACATAGTGAGTTCCAGGTCAATCTCAACTACATAGTGAGACCCTGTCTCAAAAAACCAAAGGAAAAAAAATGTGCTTTTTCTATAAAATGGAATACTACTCAGCCATAATGAATGAGAAATTAGAGTAATTCATAGGAAAATGGATATACATATTGAGGATATACTCCTAAGTGAAATATATAAGTCACACATGTATAAATACCAAATAGTTTCTCTGGTGTGAAAAACTATAATGGTACATAAGATCCTAATGGTATAACTGACCTTGTGAAATACAAGAAAAGAGCTAAAGGTGTAGGGAAAGAGGGAAGGGTAGAGGAAAGGTAATAAGGGAAAAGAAAGAAAACATGAGAAAATGAAAAAATGGAAATAAAGTGTTTGTAAATGGGGAGGGGAGGAGGGAGTAAAGGGAGGGCAGGGACAAGGGGAAAAAAATGAGAACCAGGACCTGTCATGTAAAGGTACAAGATCCCAATGATGAATGTAACTGTACTGTATACCTAGAATGTACCAATACACTCAATGAGAGAGAAAAAAAAGAAAGAAAACTCTGGCAAATCAATTTAGTTTCTGTTGTTCACAACTGGTAGCATCTACAAGTGTGCACAGAAAAATAAATGCTGACATTCCTTAAGGGTGACACATTGCTCCAGACCTCAAAAATATGCAGGAATATTTTCCCTGGAGGCAAATTAGTAATAACAAAACACAAGAAAAAAATGAAATGAAGAAAATGAAGACACAAACTTTCTAAGGCTGCGGTCTTTTCAGTTATGAGGACATATTCCAAAACTAACACACTTAACCCACAACATGTGTAGATGCATCTGGCGGCAATCAAAGATCTTAAGTTTACATAGCAGATTTGAAGAAACTAAGTTAGTCACAGAATATAAGACATAACTCTTTTAAACCATTTATATGCACTGACCATTTTTTTATTTTTTCAGTATAAAATTAAATATATTACATATGCTAGATAAATTACAGCAAAACTACTCAGTCTTTGTGGATCATACATTACGAATTCTACTTTCCTCACTATAGTGGTCTGGATGAGAAACAACTTCTCAAGCTCTCTTTTGTTTATATAGGTTGATATGGTGTTAGGGCAAGGATATATAACACAAAACAACCAGAGAAAATCCCCCCCAAGGTTGTAAAGTTTTCAAGAAGTTCTTTAAAGTTTCACTAGCACTCATTTTAGAAAATTTACTCCAATCGCTTCTCGGCCTTTTGGCTAAGATCAAGTGTAGAAAATTTACTCCAAGAAAATGATTTGAAGTATAGGAAAACATGCTGTTGTGGCTAAATTTAAAATAGGAAAGGACTAAGAAACAATTAAAATTCTTCATACACGAGTAGTTATTAAAACTTTAATCTTATGCATTTTATGTTTTTTCTGTGATAAATTAAAACTGATGAGTATAAAAAAGATAGTGAGTACAAAATTTGCAAAACATGTTAAAAATATTTATGAGTATAGAAAATACTTATTTTAAATGGAAAAAAAGTACAGATTTCTATATACAATTATACAGGAATTATATAATATGCAGTTTGGGAAAATGGATAAAACATTATAAGCCAGGTGTTGTAATCCCAGCATTCTGGAGGCTGAGGCAGCAGGATTGCTGTGAGTTCGAGACCAGCCTGGGCTACACAGTGAGTTCCAGGTCAGTCTCAATTACATAGTGAGACACTATCTCAAAAAACAAAACAAAAAAGATAAAACATGAATGAAGCTATTGAAAAAATAGGACATTTGAACATTTTCACCCTTGGTGAGATAGCATGATTTATTTTTTATTTTCACAATTTTCTTTCACATTTTAAAAATTAGAGTATATTAGTTATACAGAATAGTGGGATTCATTTTGGCATATCCATACACGCATACAACACACTTCGATAATTTTCATTACCCTTCTTCTTCTCTCTACTCCCCACCCTGATCCCCTTCCTCTTTTCTAATTGTCTCCCTTCTTACATCAGCAATTTTTAACTTTTTTCAGTTTCTGAACTTTCAAAATTCTCTATAATGGATTCCCTACTTTAATAATACAAATTTTGCTTACCTTGATGTATGACTCTTATTTTTACTTGAGTTTTTAAAATTAAATTTCAAGAGTTCCTCATGACAGGGAGAAGATATTACTCCAAAGTTATTCATTGCAGGTGATTTGTTAACAGGCATAATTACAGATCATAAATCTGAATAAAAATATAAAATTTATTTTAGGATAGAAATTCATTCACAGTACTAAATAATACATATAATGCAAATACATGATTTGTGGAAAAGGGAGCAAGAATGAAAATCAGGATTAAGAGCAGCTTATTAAGAAGCAATTTAAATTTAAACTCATACCTGGGAATCAAGCCTAACTTTGCTGTCAAAACCCATATGCTATCTATTATGTTACTATTATAGATATATTCGTTCATATAGTATCCAGTCTTTATTATAATTTATCAGTTTTATGAGTGAAACCATTGTAAGAACAGCCTAATAACTAGGAGGTTACATTACACAAGACTAATAGATCTACTTACCTGCTTTGAGCCTGTTTCCTACTTGTAAAATAGGGATAATATCTCCTCATAGAGTTCCTGTGAGAAATAAATAGTTTAGCATATATCAATTAGTTAGAATAGAGCTTGGCATACAGGAAACTTTACATAAATACTTACAGTCATTATGAGACCAGTATGTCTTCTGTATTTTAAGGTAACTTCTTATTCCTGCTTATGGCTCTTGCCTTTCTGTCAGATAGATTATGCTCTCTCAGCTTGCCCTCATATTTAGGTTTCTTTTCCTTTTGAAGAATATCTGAGCATATCTTATGAATATATAACCAAAACTAGAACATGCTATTTGTGGTTAGTGGAGTATTTGACAAAATCAAATGGGCAGTTATGTTAATACTTAAAGATTTTGCATTCCATTTT